CTACATTTTCCAGAACCCCAGACGTAGATGAAACCATTTCACTAAGTTTTCTTGGATGAAATATGAGCTACTTCCTAGCCAGACCCCTAAGAAAGGTCTACCTCCTCCACCTTTTCCTCTTTCCCCAGCTACAATCCAAGGAGGGGAGCAACTCGGTTCTGACGATGCAAGCACAATGCCCCAGAGCAGAATTTCTCGAATTTTATTGTGTGTACAAATCATCTGGGGATCTTTAAACAGACACTGATTCAGTAGGTCTGGGGTCAGAACTGAGATTCTGCATCTTTAATAAGACTCTAGGTAATGCCAACACTCCAGGACCGCAGACTGTGCATTTAAGACCTTAAAGAGCAGCACAGCTGTACTGCAATCCTTGTGCGATTTGTGGAGCGTACTGAACTGCCCACAATGAACTGTTTTATGAGAAAAAAATTTAACTGAGAAAATGATATCATTGTATGTTTAGCTTTCACTCAGCTGGAGTATGGGATTCTGGGTTGCAAAGCATTTCTCCCCCAAATAGTGAAGCGTTACTCCCGTCTTAAGGAATGGAGTTTTATATTAAAAGGCCCTGTACTGAGTTGGAGAGATGGCTCAGCAAGCTAAGCTCTAGCTGCTCTTGCAGAGGACCTGGGTTCAACTCTCAGCACCCACACGGTGGCTCACAACTCCAGTTCCAGGGGTTCCAACAGCCTCTTTATTATTATTTTTTATTTGATGTATATGAGTGTATTGCCTGCATGTATGTAAGTACACTGTGTCATGCAATGCCCAAAGAGAACAAAAGAGGGCATTAAATTCCCCTGGACCTAAACTTAAGAATATTTGTTAGCTACCATATGGGTGCTGGGAATCAAACCTGGGTCCTCTACAAGAGCAGCCAATGCTCTTAACTGCTAAGCCATCTCTCCAGCTCCTTCAACACCTTTTTTTGACCACCAAGGGCACTGCATGCACATAGTTGACATACATGCATATGTATGTACGTACTACATGCAGGTAGGCAAAACACTCATACACACAAAATAAGATTTTTTTTTTTTTAAATGAAGCCCTGTGTCATTCTAATTGCTGGTCTGTAGCATATGGTCTGCTTTCTCTCCGGAAGCTTTTGTAAGTCCTTTTTTGTTGAGCCTAGTCCTATTTTCCTACATTACACTGGGTACTTGATGGGCTCTTTCACTCCAGAAGTACAGGTCCTTTTCTTCCTCTTCACTTTCGGTGCTCTCTTTTAGACTCTAAGCCTCTTGGACTGCTTCTCAGTTGTCTTTTCTTTGCTAAGTATCATCTCTTTTCATTTACTTTCCTTGAGTAAAGAAACTTGAGTTCCTCAATTTCTCTTCCAGCCTATGAGACTTTTCATCTCTTTTCTGATGGTTTGATTTTCCAAGTGTACTTCCCTGAATTCAACCTGTTTTTTTTAAAATAAGAGACAGAGAGCTTAGGCAACCTAGCAAGACCATGTCTCAGAAAGTAAATAGCAAATAAATAAATAAACGGGAGAAATCTTGCTATATTTCCCAGGCTGACCCCAACCTCCTGTGATCAAGAGATCTTCCTACCTCAGTCTCCCAGGGAGCTCTGATTACAGTAATATGCTATGGTCTCAACTAACTAACTAACTAACCAACCAACCAACTAACTATAACTAACTATAAATAAATAAATAAAATGGAGGCTGGGGAGATGGCTCAGTGGGAAAAGCACTTGCTATGCAAAGAAGAAGACTTTGTTTTTCCCCTACATTGATCTCATTTATGCTAGAAAGTTCTTCAAATATCTGGAGGTCCTTTCCTATCTGCTCATATTTTTAAAATGAAGTGGTTAAGCATGGTAGTACAAACTTGTAACCCCAGCACTTGGGAGGCTAAGGCAGGAGGATAACCATTCCAGGATAGCCTGAGTTACTAAGATGACCAGATGTTCCATGTACACAAATGGGACTTACCAACAATGAATCTCAATATGGTCCAGTCTCACTACTTTGCTAGAACCTGATGTGAATTAAATCTTTTCTTTGACTAATCAAGTACCCCTTAGGAATGTCTTCAGGTCTCTAACCTAGAAAGTATAAGCTTGGTTATCAGTTGTAGATACCACAACTCGGTATATAAATGTTCATAATCTGTTTTCAGTGCAGTGTTCTTGCCATCACCTGTACCCAGGTACCCACTGAGCTAAGCACCCTGTTTTCCATCTCCAACAAAGAAGCCTCCAAGGCCAGGTGTGCTGGCACATGCCTGTGATTCTAGTACTTAGGAGGTAGAAGTAGGGCAGAAGTAACCTTGAGGCCAGATTGATCTGCATAGTTTTCCAAGCCAGCCAGAGGGACAGAGCAAACTCTGTCTAAAAAGAAAAAACAAGAAAAAAAAAAAAAAAAAAGGAAAAAAAAAATCTCCAGAATTCTCATGAGTTGGGTTGGGGTTGGGGTGGGAGATAGTCGCCAAGATGTACAAAACCAAGATCTGGTAGTCTTATTACTTCAAACAACCCTCTTAGTTTCATACAACTTTACCCAAGTTGTCTGCATTACCACTAAGGATCACTTGCTTCCTTCACTGTTGGTTTAGCTTCCATGTTACTGCTAAACCTGTTATCACTTAGTCTCAGTTCTCTAGCTTCTATCTGAAGTTTTTCGGTTGATTCTTGTCCCTCTCTCTCTGCCTCTTTTTCTTTTCAGCACTGATAAAACCCAGCTCATCAAACATGCTAATTAAGCCTTTTACTATAATCTACAACGCTAACCTTTGTTTTTTTGAGACAGAGTACTTTAGGCTGGCCTTGAACTTGATCACAGGAATGCACTATCTCTACTGGTTTCTCTGTCCTTTTTAGATTAGCTTTTTGTTTCTTTTTCTTGAAACAAGATCTCATTAGAGCCCAAGCTGGCCTTGAACTCAGTTTTGCTGAACTTCTGACCCTCCTGCCCCCACTTTCCAAGGGCTAGGATCATAGGCATATGCCATCATGCCCAGTTTTCGAACCCTTGTCATTTTTAAAATGTATCTTTTTGCGTACATGTGTCCACTTCAGTGTGCACATGCTCATGAGTAAGGATATCTTCCTTTATCACTCTCCACTTTATTTTTTTACTATTTCATTTCTCATTTTAAAATTTTATGTGTATGAATGTACATATGTGTATGAGTATATTGCCTGCATATGTGTAAGTGCACCCATGTGGTGCAATGCCCACAGAAAAGGGCATCAGATTCTCCTGGAACTGGAGTCACAGATGGTTTAGTTGCCATGTGGGTGCTGAGAATTGAACACAGGTCTTCTGCAAGAGCAGCCAGTGCTTTTAACCACTGAGCTATCTCTCCAGCCCCCTCCACTTTATTTTTTTGAAACAGGGTCTCACTGAACCTGGAGGTCACTCTTTTGGCTAGACTGACTGGTCAGCAAGTCCCTAAGATTTGTCTGTCTCCACCTCCACAGCACTAGAGTTACAGATGGGCACCACCAAGCCTCACTTTTACAGGGGTTCTAGGTATCTAAACTCTGTGAGACAAGATCTCACGGAGCACAAACTGGCCTTGCACTCACTATTTAGCTGAACTTCTGATCCTCTTGTCTGTACCTCCTGAGTGCTGGGGTTACAGGCATGCACCCTTACACCTGGGTCAAACTCAGGGCTTCGTGCGTGCTAGGCAAGTAGTCTACCAACTGAACTACATCTCAGCCCTTATTTTTATGGTTGAGCCAGCAAAATGACTCAGTAGATGAAGGCACTTGGTGCCAGGCCTGACAACTTGAGTTAGATCCCAAGAACCCATACAGTAGGAGAGAGCTGACTCACAACTAGCTGTGTCCTGACCTCCACATGAGCACCACGGCAGGTGTGGCTGCACACACACACGCACACACACACAAACACAAATAAATATGAATTTAAAGTTAAAAATATCTTTATTGTTATTTTTATCAGGATCCAGGGAAGAGCTAAGTTAAATGCTAGATCTAGGACGTATACCTGGGTTTACATTATTTTGTTTACTCCACGCTGCTGTTTGTTTTTCTCCGGCAGGAGTCCCAACCCAAGGCTTCCAGCATCCTAGGCAAGCACACTGCCCATGAGCTATACCTGCGGCCCCACTTTCATTCTTGATCTCTGTAAGCTTCTAGATTAATCTGTCTAAGAAAGGTAAATCTGGTTATAACACCCTTCTTTCAAAGGCCCCCAAATACCTTCAGAATGAATTCCAAATTACCTGTCTTTTCCTGATCTAGCTCCTTACACCAGTTTCTTGTCACACCTAACCACCAATAACACTCCATTCACTCCACATAAACTGAACCCCTTACAGGAGTTCAAATATACCAGGCCCTTCGAAAGCACCACCTCCTAGCCTATGCGGTTTCCCTTTTCCATTCCAACCTCTCCTCCATCTGGTTAACCTTTAGAATTCAATTCAAGAAGCATTTCCTGCAAGAATCCTTTTTCTGTGCTTTCTGCCATACGCCCCGACTATCTAACAAAACATCTATCCCACTCTCTCGTTCTATCCTCAGAACCTAGCACCTAATTGATAACCAGAAAGAGGGAGAGGCCAGTAGAAGCCAGCATCTGAGAACACGATAGTCTGCGTCCCAACTCGTGATCAGGAAGAAGCCCTGGGGAGAGTAGTAACACTCACCAAGTTAAGCTTTCCTTGGGAGAGGTTGGCCGACAGAGAGCCCGTGACCACCCAGTATGGCGGATTACGCTCCAATTCCCACCACCATCACATAGCGCAGGGCCGACGCTTAATAAATCCTTATAAATTCCATGCAGTCCACGAGACAGGTCAATCAAAGTGGACAGAGCTGAACGACCTCAGACAGGGGCTGTTTTAACACCGCCTCTTACCACAGGTGGTCTAGTGGTGCAGGAGCGTACCTGCACAGGACACTTCGGAAGTTGGACCTAGAAAGCCGAGGCCGCACAGGGCATCCTGGGAATTGTAGTGTTCGCTAGAGTACTCGCTGCGCAGGCGCGAACTAACAGGCACTTCCGGGCCTGGGCGCCACACTTCGCCAAACCCGGTCCGCGAAGGTTTCTCCCAGGAACGATGGCTACCTACAGCCTGGCGAACGAGCGACTGCGCGCCCTGGAGGACATAGAGCGCGAAATTGGCGCCATCCTTCAGAACGCAGGTGCGGGAAGCGGGGAGCTGACGGCTGGGAGCTTGAGCGAGCACAGGCCCAGCGGGGGCGGAGGGAGGGACTGCAAGGCGGGGCCAAACGGCCAGTCTCGACCTGACTCCGCTCCTCCCCTCCCCGCCCTGGCAGGAACCGTGATCCTCGAACTGTCCAAGGAAAAAACCAACGAGCGGCTCCTAGACCGGCAGGCGGCAGCCTTCACCACTTCTGTGCAGCACGTGGAGGCGGAGCTGTCGGGTCAGATCCGCTACCTCACCCAGGTGGGTGTGTCTAGAAGGTGCTGGGCGTGGACCCCATTCCCCTACAGTGCCTTGGGGATTCCCCCAAGCTGACGTAGATTTAACTGGGCAGGTCCAGGCCTCTCATGCTGGCCCCACCCTGACCGGATTAGGCCCCTGCCTTCCAAGGCTTGGTTAAAGAGGAAAGAATTAGAGTGCCAGGGAGGTATATAAACATTAATCAGCCAGACCAAGTGGCACAGGCCAGTAATCCCAGCTACTCAGGAGGCCCAGGAAGGAGGCTCACAGGTTCAAAGCCTGCCTGGGCAACATAGACTCTATAAAAAGAGTGCTGGGACTGTAGCTCAGTGTTAAAGCATTTGCCTAGCATACAGAAGGCCCTAGGTTCAATCTCCAGTCCTGGGGTGGGTAAAAATGAAGCCACAGAATGTTTTTATTTTTTCAGAAACTTGACTGACCACCAATCTAAGATTACAAAGTCCTAACTACTGCTACCCCATTTTCAAACATTTTTGGTGTGCCAGGCACTCTTGCCTTATCCTATGACAACTGCAAGTAGTAGTTATGTCATCCCCATTTCACAGATGAGCTTAACACAGAATTTTACCTTAAAACACTGAGCTACCAGACTTCCGAATAGATCAAACTCAGGGAGGAAATGAGACCAAAGATCTGATGCCTGGTTGTAGGGTGGGGGGGAGAGGCAGTGCTACATTGATCAATCTTAACTGTCCTGTAGGTGGCCACGGGGCAGCCGCATGAGGGCTCCAGCTATTCTTCAAGGAAGGACTGTCAAATGGCTCTGAAGCGAGTCGATTATGCCCGCCTCAAGCTCAGTGATGTGGCACGAACCTGTGAGCAGATGCTAGAGAATGAAGTCAAGGAGATGATTCAGACCATGACTTGCACCTTGGGACAGAACCTGGAGACCCGTAGGACTGGGAGCACACAGTAGGACTGAGCATACAGTAGCATGTACATGCCCTGCCGGTCAGGGTAGACTAGGACAAAGGGGCTGAAAGTAGAAATGGAGAATCTAAAGCCCAAGGCTGCCGGCAGATCTGTCTAGGTCTGCAAGCAGGTTGCTCCTGCTTTCCACTACACAAACTCAGAAGTCAAAGACTCCATTGCCCAGCCCACTTCTCATGTACACCCTGCCCAAGGGTTCCAGAACACTTGGCCCGATGAAGAGAATTTTCTTTCCATAAGCCAAGTATGGTGACTTACACCTGTCATCCCAGCACTCAAAGCTGAGAAAGGAGGATTGCTGTGAATTTGAGAACAGCCCTGGGCTACATAGTGGGTTCCAACCTAGAGTATACAATGAGACCTTCCCTTGAAAAAAAAAGAAGATTATGTTCCTCATTGGAAGAGGCAAAACAGGAACTGTTTGAATAATAAAAGTTGTAACTTTTTTTTAACGATCAGACTCTTCACTGGGGTATATATAAGTAGTCCAAGAGTTCGAGGAAATCAGTCCAGCCTGTACAACATCAGCACAGCAGCTTGCTGAGAAGGAAGGGTAAGAAAGCCCAGGCCTTCAGTGTGGAATTGGAAATAGCTGATGTTCGATGAAGACAGACTTGTGACCAGAGGGAACTACCAGCAGTTGTAAGGGGACAAAGAACCTGCAGAAGAATCAATAATTCTATAAATAATTTTTAGTATTATAGTTAAATACAAATAGAATTTGTCCAAGTTATTGTTATACAGTATAAAACCAGACACTTTAAAATTTATTTACTTGTTGCAGTGCTGAGATTTGACCCTTGCTAGGCAAACACCGTATCACAGAGCTACACCTCCAGACCATAGACCATAAATTTTAGATGTGAAGGGACTAAGGCCAGTGGAGCTACTAATTAGCAAGTCTGTAATACCAGCCCTGTAGAGGAGTCATCCTCAGACACTGGGAGTCAAGCTTAGATGACATGAGACCCTGGCAAAAAAGGGCAGGCCATGGTAAGAACACCCTTTAATCTCAGCATTCAAGAGGCAAAGGCAGGCAGATTTCTGCATTTGAAGTAAGCCTGGTCTCAAGTATAATAATAAAAAAAACTCAAAAGAATTTTACATTAGATACAGAATCAAAGCAGATATGGTAGCATACCATCTCAGAGCCTAGGAGGTGGGGGGCAGAAGAATCAAGAATTCAAAATCACCCTAGATTACATAAAAATACTTGGTCTCAAAACTAAAAATTAAAAAAAAAAAAAAGCCTGGGTTGGCTGAGTGTGGTGGTGTATGCCTTTAATCCCAGCACTGAGCAGGCAGAGGCAGAAACAGAAGCAGAGGCAGATGGATCTCTGTAAATTGAAGGCTGGCTAGGGCTGCGTGTCTCAAAAAAAATTCTTAAAGCCTGGGCTGAGGATTAGTTCATTGGTAGAGCTTGCCCAGCCTGCACAACACCCTGATTGCTCACTATCCAAGTCAGTTCTCATGAGCTTCCATTCTTGGTTCAGGTATTGTAGTCTTGTGTCACAGGTGTATAATAGAACTGTATATCTGGAAAGAATAAAGAAATTGAGAAATGAGCTCTGAGATAAAGGAGAGGTGAGAGGGCATGAACTGAAGTGGGGAATCAAACTCCCCAAAGACCTAGTCCATAGTAAGCACTCTATACGGATCTGGGAATTGAATGAATGGCCCTGCTTGTCACACTAGCCTGGCATAGCTGCTATTTTCATGTTGCTACAGCACTGACTGCTCACTAGGCTTGTAGTAGCTTCCCTCCCTCTCTAGCCAATAGTTCTGGCTGACTGTTCCCTGTCAACCCATGGTGCAAACAACCTTAGTAGTTGTAGGCCTTTGTAAGGTTGTCAGCCACTGGGACAGAATCCTTACCAGGAAGGTTCTAGGTCCCTGGAGGAGGGGTTCAGGAGTTCTGTTTACCTGGAAAGTTCTGTTGTGACTGTTTCCTTCTCTGGCACAACACATAGACAAGGACTATGGTGAGGAGGAAGACGATGGCCATGAGGGACAGCACTGACACCATGGCTGATGTTCCTGCTGCAGCTCCTGACTTTTTTTCCTGCTGTTTATCTTCCTTCTGTTGCTCATTGGCCCTGGCGTCAGACCCAGCTTCTAGACTATGGCCAGAAATGATAGTGGTGGTTTCCCTGAGGTGGGTGTGGGTGAGCTCTTTGTCCAAAGACATTTCTCCTGAGGGAAGGGTGGGTTGTTGGGTACTCAAAATCTCTGCAGGGCTGCTCATATCCGGAAGTGCCTCCTCTGTGAGCTCAGAAAGCTGGGTGCTGGAAGGGAGCAAATGCCCCTGGTGATGGGAACTCTTCCAGTGATCATATCCACACTCTGAATAGGAAAGAAATGAATCGGGGCCATTGGAACAGGTGAAGAAGCAAACACATGTAGACAAGAAAAAGTGTCATTTTCACCTAAATCCAGGGTATGGCTGCCACCCTTTCAAAAACAACAAAAACAGCAAGAAAAAGGCATAACAAATTTTAATAAAAGTATGAGGCCGGGCATGGTGGCACACGCGTTTAATCCCAGCACTTGGGAGGCAGAGGCAGGTGGATCTTTGTGAGTTCAAGGCCAGCCTGGTCTACATAGTGAGTTCCAGGACAGCTGGGGTTACAGGGAGACCCTGTCTCAAAAAGACAAAAAAAAAAAAAGT